CAGATAGGGATAATAGATATGTAATTAGGTTATTACGCAAATTTTCGAAAGCCCAAAACGTCCGTTTATTTTATTTGTACTGCAATAAAACCAAGATCAAAGAAAGACGGACTATGACAAGGGTTTTCTCCATTGTGTAAAAAAACACTACTTGACCTAATTACGTATACACGTTTGTTGGTTGTTTTTTTAATCAAAAGAAGACAGAATAGGTCATGACCCGTCGCAAGTCGAGCGACAGATGTGCACTCGTGGTTATCTTTGTGTCGCTTTAATTTACTGTACTGTAAACAGTGTGCGGGCCTATCGGTGGGTGTGATAAACGTCGTGTGTTTGTTTTTTGTATGAGTTTTACCGCGCTCCCAACTGCAGAAGGTTATATGAGCGCGCCTAAAGGCAAACAGTGTACGGGGACTCTCAGTGGTCTAGAAGTTACGGTGTTTGCCTCTCGTGCAACAGGTCCCGGGTTAGAAACCTGCCTGGCAGCAACGGGAAACATTATTTTTCTCTAATACTTTCTTCTTTCACCTCCTTTCCTGCTGTTAAGCTGTGTTCTGTCGTTCTTTCACCTCCTTTCCTGCTGTTAAGCTGTGTTCTGTCGTCTGTTTTCGTCTTCTCTCTCTCTCTCTCTCTCTCTCTCTCTCTCTCTCTCTCTCTCTCTCTCTCGCTCTCGCTCTCTCGCTCTCTCTCTCTCTCGCTCGCTCGCTCGCGCCCACACTCGTGCGTGAGAATCAAATGCTGCAAGGGACCGGCCTTCCCAAACGCCAGGCGTTACGCCCCCACGGCAGGGCTAAAAAGACTACGGCGGCGTATCGCGGTCGATTTGCCCTGCACTATGCGACGCACAGACCGAGTTGACACTGTCACTGCACTTGATGTGCTGTTTCCATGTATTTTTACCTAGTTGTTGAATAATGTGACATTTGCAACAAAGGGAACTCTCGTGGTCTAGGGGTTAAGGTGTTGCCTTAGGTCCCGGGTTCGTATCCAGACTGCTACGGGACACATTTTCTTCTCTAAAACTTTCTCCTTTCAATTCTGTCCTGCTCCCTAACAATGTTCTGTCGTCTGCTTTCGTCTCCATTGCACTTTCTGCCCCCACCCTCTCACCTCCTTTGCTCCCGACTCTTTCTGCAGCCTTTCTACTGCTTCTGTCAACCACACAACTGATCTTATTATGGCATAGTAGAAAAGATCTCCGCCTGCTAGTCTTCTCGGACAAGGGCGTGGGTGGTTGGCGGGTGCTCTGGTGTGGTTTGCTCCTTTCTTTCCTATCAAACATCTATCGTCATTATCTCTCCTCCTTCTTTTTTATGTTTGTTGCTCTCTTGTAACACCTCTAATCTTCGGCACATATATGACCTAATCGTGTTTCAAGTATCGTGAAACTCTTACTAAAACATTGTGAGGCAGCGTGGTGGAATCAGGCTCTCGTCAATTTTTGGGCATGTAGAGTTATTGGTATCGTCTTAAAGCTTGTTCACTTGTCTTTGTTTTTGTGTGAAAAAATATCCGTTAATCTTGAATACAAGTCGAGATATTTGCAAATAAGGGAGGTGGGGGTCACCTGTTTTCAGAGGTAAAATTAGTGAGAAAATGGCCGCCAAAGATTAGTTATTTCCTTAGCTTAAGAGTCCGTGGTAACTGAAAGTTTACAGTCATTCTCTGTGCCTTTAACCAACGTTTTTTAAAAGAAAAATCCACACAGAAATGAGCTCTTTAATGGGCATGAAAGGTGTTGAGCAAAAAAAAAAAAAAAAATTGATAAAAGTTCACAAATCTGCAGAAAAATGCAAGTTTCCTCTCTTTGATTATTTTGACGAGAGCCTGATTCCACCACGCTGCCTCGCATTTTTTAAAAAATCGGACAAAGGCGAACAATCTCGGAGGTCCCGTGTGCAAGTCGAGCACGCGCGTGTCACGTGCGATTCGCCCTGCATTATGCTGCATGCAGACCGAGTTGACAACTGTCACTGCACTTATGTTGTTGGGTTTTTTTTTTGTTATTTTTTTTTTTTCTCCGTCTGTCTTTTGCTGTTTCCATGTATTTTAACCCAGTAGTTGGATAATGTGACATTTTCACTTGCTTTTGTGTGTGTGTGTGTGTCGTTATTTAAAAATATATATTTTTTTTTTTGTGCAGCCCTGTCTCACTGCTATTTTTCAGGAGAGTACGTGCATGTATTGGAGCGAATGACCGGTTTTTTTGGGGTTTTTTTTTTTTGCTTTTTTGTTTTTCGTGCATGTTCGTTCCTGACTGTATACATGTTGGCGCTCATATGACCTCATGCAGTTGCGAGTGCCGTAAAACCTCTACAAACGAACGAACTGTATACATGTAAATTATGGTCGGTGTCGCAAGCGTTCATTCCCCTTTATAGGTTTCATGTAGGGGGGGGGGGGGGTTTGGTTTGCTTTTCTTTTCTTTTTCCATCTGTCTTTTGCTGTTTCCATGTATTTTAACCCAGCAGTTGGATGATAATGTGACATTTTCACTTGCTTTTGTTTTTTGTGTGTTGTTACTTTTTTGTTGTTTACTGCAGCCCTGTCTCACTGTTGTTATTTTTCCAGGAGAGTACGTGCGTGCATGTATAGGACCGAATGACCATTTTTTTTTGCTTTTTTGTTTTTTTGTTTTGTTTTTTCGTGCATGTTCGTTCCTGACTGTATACATGTTGGCGCTCATATGACCTCATGCAGTTGCGAGTGCCGTAAAACCTCTACAAACGAACGGACTGTATACATGTAAATTATGGTCGGTGTCGCAAGCGTTCATTCCCCATTAAGTCCGTTCGTTTACTTTTTGCACCAAACACGAACAACTAGGTGTTTGTTGTTGGGGTTTTGTTTTTTTTGGAGGTGGGGGGGGTTTGGGGGGTGGGGTTCGAGTGTGTTTTATGGCGCTCGCAACTGCATAAGGTCATACCAGTGCGCGGAACGCATAATTCAACATTTGCAGTAGGCAGGGAATTTTGAATTTTGCCTTGGTGGTGGCGGAAGCTTACTCTTTATGGATTTAGGACCCCCCCCCCCCCCCCCACTCCTCCCCTGCCTATCTCCGGGGTACCTTGATAAGAGTCGAAGCAGACTTTGTGCTGTTGAGGCTAGAGAGGTGGGGAAAAGTATGGCTGATTCCCCGTTTGGACTTGTCTGTTGACATCCACCCCTTGGCGCTCATAATACTCATATCATATGACCGTATGGAGTCCCGAGCGCCGTATAACCAAAGGGTTCTTTACCTTGTCCAACTGCACACGGTACCTCTGAGATTTCCGACGTGTCCAAGAAGGCTAGATGTAGATCTTTCCTACTATAAGATCAGGGGTGTTGTTGAAAGACAGCCGTGAGAAGGACCAAAGCAGTAGCAGTGGAAAGGCTGCAGAAAGAGTCAGTAGCCCGGAGGAGGGGGACAAAGGGGGTGGGGGCAGAAAGTGGAGACGAAAGGTAAGGGCGAGAGAGGAGAAAACGTGAGAGAAAAAACGTTTCCGTCGCTCTTCGGATTCGAACCCGGGGCCTATTGAATATGACGTGAGAGGCGAACACGTTTACCTCTAGGCCACGAGAGCCCCTGTTGTGTTGCTCTTACTTATCGGGAATCGTGAAAAGCAAGGAACTTGTATAGCCAAACCTTGACCGTAGCATTAAACTGAATTTTGGTGATTTTGAAAGGCGTCTCTTTGATAGAGCTTGGGGGGTGGGGG